AACTACAGTTCCCATGACTAAGACCTTCCTGTTTAGCCAGACATTTAAAACAGAAAGTTTTTAAAGAACAGGCTGGAATGTTATATTGTTTTAATGTTTTTTAAACACTTTTATATTTTAACTTTTTTTTATTCTTTTAACATGCAATCTGTTTTAATATTGTAATAATTGAATTCTATTTTAATGTATCACTTTTATATTTGTTTTAATTGTACTGTGTGTGTTTTTAATCTGAGTCCCAGTTTTAGAGAAAGGGTGAGAAATGAATAAATAAATAATAAGATTATTATAATAATAAAATTATGTTTAAAATACCTTTCTGTTTATGGATAAAGGAACTGTTGGTGGACCCACCTGCTTTTTCAATTTATTGTGCTTTTTTTCTAGGAAAGGGTTTCTTGCTCTCAAAGTTTAGAGAAGCACTAGTTTCAAAGTCGAGTACAGCTACTAATGGGCCAATGTCCTTACTTATCTGATCCAGTGGAAAAAAACTGTGCACACAACATTTAGAAACTCAACCAGATGACACCAGGGTCCCCCACCCCACCCCATATTATTATGGAAATAGTCAAGAAGACATGTCAGGCAAAGCTTTAAAAAAACAGAACTTAAAATTATGTGTGTTCAAATTATCTAACAACACAAATCCATCTAATCTTAATTTTTCTTAATTTTAAAAGAGAGAGTGGTTAGTATGGCATGTAACATAAGAAGCAGCCATTTTAATTCAAGGAACAGTTTTGAGAAAATCAGCTTTTTAATCAAATTTAAATACCTACCTAAGATGTGAAAGAATCTGACTGCTCTCAAGATTTAATTTTAGTCAAGGTACAGGTATGATGAGACTGCACTTTGAACATTTGCCTGTAACCTTGAGAGACCTGAGGCTTCTTGCAAGATTGAGATGCTAAATGGTTTGTGTGGGTTTTGTTGTTGTTGTTGTTTGCATTTTGCGCAAATTACAAATGTATTTTGTATAAAATTACAAAAAAAACATAGGTAAAACTGATCAATGAAAAATCAGCCTCAAATATCTGTTTATCAGCCACATACACATTATGAGGACATCACTTCAACACTGTTCTTAATAGGCTGGTGTGAATGTGATCACTAATGGCTGGGCTAACAAAGCTTAGCAGACAAAAGGATCAGGATTCAGTTTGCTCCTCTAAATATGTTTCTTCACATAATGTAATGGGGGGGGGAGGGATCATGAAAACTAACATGTCTTAAGAGACTTCCTTATTGTGAATAAACTCTCCAAATATATGCATTTAAATGAGTAACTACCATACTTGTTTTATATGAGCTGTTTTAAAAAATCACTTCCTGTTATTTAAACTCATGTGGATGTCAAGTGCATCCTTCCCCAGAAGAGAAATACAAGATCTCTACTGCTAGGAAATGTCATGGTCAAATCAATATTCTGCATGGCTGTGTCCTTCACTAGCATACCTGAAGTCAGCGAGAAAACAGATCCTGGTTCAATATCAAGTAGTAGCTTGGTAACATCTTCTGCTAAGGTGAAATGTGTAAAGCACACACAGAAGTGAAAATTCTTCCCTCATTGTATAGGACTTGGAGGAAGGTAGCCTAAGGTTTGAAACAGAATATAATAACAAGCAGGAGAAATTTCCAGTGTCACTTTAGCTGATTTGAGGCAAAGTTAGTCATGTTCACTGCATTTGTTTCACTGCTGTAAAACAATTTCCGAGATGTCTAACATATGCTCCCAGTAGGGATGTAAATATTTGATTATTTCATCTTTGCAAATGAGGACACATAATTTTTGAAGAGTTTTTCCCCCCAGAGAAAACAAATATTTCCATTCAGATCTCACCCCGTATTTCCATATCCCAAAGGGTTTCAAAAAATGTTCTGTGCTGAAATACATATGGCTTTTGCATGAAAATTGTGTTTTCCATGTGACTATTTTTGTATGTGTGTAAGATGGGGTTTTTTAGTTAAAAAATAGCTATATTGCACCCACCCCCATGGCTATCTGGAAAGTGTGGGAGGACTGGGGTTGCAACTCACCCCCCAAGTTTTTGCACAAAATTCCATTATATTTCTGAACAGAAAAAAATCCTGAAACATTTCAAGTTCATGGATGAAAACTATACAATATTCTCGCCATTGTGTTAGTATTCATTTTTCAGCCAAGAAATATTCTTTCCAAGTCTCCTCCCAGGTGGAAAGTAGGTGATTGCTGACATTAGTTCTCAAAGCACATTTTTGTCAAATATAAAGGGAGGGTTTTATTAGATCCTGATTTTGCAGAAGCAGAATTTCCAGGCTGTTCTATTATTAAACTGATGGAAAAGCTGTCTCATAATAAATCTCAGTGGTTCTCATTAACTAGTGAGAGCCTACCCATACCTATTAGATGTGTGTGTTGGTGTTGTTTACCTTCAAGTCGTTTCCCACTTATGGCGATCCTAAGGGTAACCTATCATAGGATTTTCTTGGCAAGATTTTTTAGAGGGGTTTGCTATTGCCTTCTGCAGAGGCTGAGAGACTGTAACTTGCCCAAGGTCACCCAGTGGGTTTTCATGCCAGATCAGGGATTTGAACCCTGCTCTCTGGTGTCATAGTCCAATGCACAAACCATTGCACCACATAGGCTTTCCTTATTTGAGGCTATTCTGCAATGTCATTTCCATTTTAAAAAGAATCTAACTGTATATTTATAAGCAGCAAATGATTTCAATTCTGGCAGTGATGCATGGGAACACAGGATTAGCTTTTTCCTTCCCAGCCATGATCCACATAAAGATAGTACATTTTCAGTTCAAATATGCATATACTGTGTATAAATTATAATTAGCAATCAAATGTGTATCATGTGATAGAGATAGCTTGGCCACTGCACTGTTGGTCCTATGCCCCTTATTTATTACTGTTGGATGTTTTGGAATAGAGGGACAGATGCTATAGTGGCTTAAGTGTTCAACTACAACTCTGGAGACCAGGGTTCAAATCTCTGCTCAGTTGGGTATGACTTGAAGGCACACAACAATAACAGTTTTGGGATGCTAGTCAAAGCTGTCACTTCTTCCAAGCTGGTGAAATCCACTTCAGCATTTAAATATATGCCAAGTAAAAATTACCCTGTAAAATGAATGTTCATTGATTGAAAGATGGGCAAAAAGTTTTACAGTTAGCAAAAGAAGTTACAAGAGTATTAAATTCTGAAATCCATTCTGAGAGATTTGCAGTCCAGTCCTATTCATATTTACTCAGAAGTAAGCGTAATAGAATTTACTGTCAAGTGTGTTTGGAATTAGAATCTAAATGATCATGCTATCGTGAAAAAAATAAGAATACAATATATATATATATATATATATATATATATATATATATATATATATATATATATACAGCCAGTCTCTTTTAATATGGAACTTCTTCTGCTGAGGCAGGCTTCATCCATTATTTACCTTTAGGGCTGGCCCTATCACTAGGCAGTGTGAGGTGGCCACCTCATGTGGCAATTTTTGATTTTGTAAAAAAGAGGTAGCAAAGATATTCCACCTAAACATTAGGAAGAATTTCCTGGTAGTAAGAACTGTTCTACAGTAGAATATGCTGCCTAGGAGTGTGGTGGAATCTTCTAAAAACCTTCTTTGGAGGTTTTTAAACAGTCTCTTCCAACTCTGTGATCCTATGATTCTAAGTTAGCAGTTGCTTAATTTATCATGACTGCATTTTTTCCTGTCAGGAATTGAGTGAGGTGGTTGTGAGATGTGTGCACTTTACTTGAAGGAGTGAGAAGTGACATTTCTTGCTGTGTCTGAGGCAGCAGCATCTTGACTCAGCCTTGCTTATATTGTTGTGTGCATTACAGAGAGCATTGTGTTCCTGGACATAGTATCTCTTCCTCCTTCACTGTCATTTCCCCATAGTCTTTCTTGCAGCATCTCCAGAGCAGGTGTCTGTATGACTCCAGATGATAAATACTGTTCTAGAAGGGTAATGTCACCAAGTGAAATGAGCCAGACACCCCCAAGTTATCATATATAGATCTGATTTTAATCAACTCTTTTCCCAACTAAAGGTATATCTGTGCATGGAAAACAATACATTGCAGGCAGCATTCATACTGACCTTGCATCATTCATTAGAGTACAGGAATATTGTGAAATATCAGACCCAGTCCATGGAAAAGTACACATGGTGAAAAAGGTATATATTAGAGTTTTAGTTTTTATATTATTTCCCATATTAACTAATCTAATGCATAGGGAAGAGCACAGGAACAGCAATGTAGTAGAGCCAGAACTTGGAGACTGAAACTCCAGGATGTTTTGGTTAGCTGGGACTATGACATCATAAGCCATTCCTCTTGAACTTCCTTGATCCTTTTGCATTTAGCTGTAATCTCCAGAAAGGGATCTTCCCAGCAACTGTGTATTCTTATCAATCCAATTTTTGTAATCCAAAGGATTTGATGGTGGGTTTGTCTTAGGTGGACAATTAAGACCACTTAGCATTATGAAAGACTTGGAGCTTTATCACATGAGAAAAGAAAGTTGAGATGGGGTGGCAGAGAAGTGGCTTTCTCCTTGCCTCTTTGTATGCTGCAATAGCATGGCTGTTCGCCCTCCGGAGGGAGACAGTTTTAAAAACGTGCCTTTTTCCAAAACAGATTTTTCCAGTACAACAAAAGACATGCTTTTACAACTGTCTCACTCAGGAAGAGAATGGAAGGGTTGACAGCATGTGAAGAGGCAAGGAGAAAGCCATTTCTCTGTCACTCTATCTCTGCTTTCTTTTGTCATGCAATAAAGCTCTTGGTCTTTATGGAAATGAAAACTGATACTATATATCATATATACTCGACTATAAGTCGACTTCATGTATAAGTCGAGGGCAGGGTTTGGGGATTTTGATATGACTCATGGGTAAATCAAGGTTAAAACTTAGGGGCATGTAACAAATGATCTAAAGGATGAAGAAAAGGAAATCAGTGCCAATGAACTTACAAAATTCCAGCAGGCATAACTGTGTTTGTGTTCATACTAAAGGCTGGATGGATGATAGAGCAGAAGGACGTCAGTGGTTCCAAAGCAGATTACACTCTTGCCTTTCAACAGGGGTTGATTCCTTTTTTATAAGAATCAAAGTACAGTACCTACATTGAGCCATGGATAAGTCAACTTAGGTTTTTTGGGTTAATTTTTTGACTAAAATTTCTAAACTTATACATGAGTATATACTGTGTGTGTGTGTGTGTGTGTTGTGTGCCTTCGTTTTCAACATATGCAGACTCTAATGGGTTGCCATCATGGGCTTTTTAAAGCAAGATTTGTTCAGAGGGAGGCTACCATTACCAGCCCCTGAGGCTGAGAGAGTGTGACTCAGGTTACGCAATGTGTTTCATAGCCAAACCAGGATTTGTACTCTGGTCTCCAGAGTCAGCCATGCTCAAACTACTAACCCATGCTTTCTCTCTCTCTCTCTCTCTCTCTCTCTCTCTCTCTATATATATATATATATACACACACACACACACACACACACACACACATACACGGCCACATGCCGTTTTGACTTTCCTTGGTAATATTACTTTAGGAACAGTCATGATCAAGGTCTGAACTTTAAATTCACCACTGCACAAAATCACCTTGTATATGGGAATTACAGGTACTCATGGTTTTTGCAGATGGAGTGGGAGTTAGATGCTAAGGACCTTATCCCACGCTGCTCTCAAAAGTGGCAAGAAAGCGATATAAGCATCATTGCAGTACTATAGCGCTAGTATAAATATGGCGCTAGCGCTATAATAGCGCTATGGATAAGCTCACGCTATTGCAATGCCCGCTGAAACCGACATTCAAAAGAATGCGATTGATGTTGCATTCCGAGCTGTTTCTTGCTGGATTCTGAGCGACGTCGTGTAATCACACGGAAAACTATAGCGCTATAGCGCCTGATTCTTAGCGGATTCTGAGCGACGTCGTGTAATCACGCGGAACACTATAGCGCTATAGCGCCTGATTCTTAGTGGATTCTTGCTGCTTTTGGCCCCGTGGGATAAGGTCTAAGATGCTAAGATACATCTACATGTGTCTGTTCCCCCTTGTTCTCTTGCACTCTCTCTGTCTTTCTGATCAACAATGCCCTTCTTATATAAAGCACTTACTTTGTAGGTGACTCATTCTGTGATATTATAATTAGTATATCTAGTTACTGACACGCTCCATTACAGAAAACTTTATTTCCATGCAAAAAGCTTCCTGGGCTTTAAATAGCCTCTTTCAATCATTGATCAGAGGTAACAGAACAAGCTTGCAGGCCAAATGATCTACCCTATATGGGCCACATCTGCCCTGAAGAGTGGAGGTACCCCATTTCCTGATTAAAATTTTCATCTATCCCTCTAACATTCCACAAATAAAAACTGGGTCACATGTGACCAAGCAACATTAGGCTGCAGTGAAGATGGCAAAGGCTATTAATGTAGGAGAACAGATATGCTAGGAAAGGCTGTCTAGCTTGCTTTTACCTGAACCTACTAGGGGGGATGTGGTAGCTTAATGGTTAAGTCTGATGATCAGAAGATAAGAAGGTTGTCAGTTTGAGGTCCAAATGCTGCATGATGGGATGAGCTCCCATCACTAGTCCCAGCTTCTGCCAACCTAGCAGTTAGAAAGCATGCAAATGCAAGTAAATAGATAGGTATCACTTCAGTGAGAAAGTAACAGCATTTGGTGTCATGCTGGCCACATGACCACCAGAGTAGTCCTCAGACTACTCAGCTGGCTCTTAGGCTTAATAATGGAGATGAGCACCACCCTCAGTCAGTTACGACTAGACATTCATGTCAAGGGACTACCTTTACCTTTACCTTTTACTAGGAAGGAAAAGATTCAGCCTCATTTGGTCCTCTCTCTGCCACTGAGCTAATTCAGTCCAAATTACTTTTGCACTTTGAATTCATATCGCTGCAACTGAAGTAAGATATATGATAAGCAGGAGAGAAAGAGGAGGAGGAGAGAGAAACTGGGACATTTTAAAAGCAGCTGAAAAAAGGGAGAGTAAATATGCAACAGTGGATTAATCAGAACTGTTCCTGCCAAACTAAGGGCCTTTGCAGACTGCCAGAAATAGTGCAAATTGAGTCCACTTTAAATTGAGGCACTGCCCTGGCTTAGTGCTAGGGAATCATGGGAATTGTATTTTTTTCTAAGACATTGAGCCTTCTCTGTCAGAGAGCTCTGGTGCCAGTTCCCATGATTCCCTGTCACTGAGCCAGGGCAGTGCCTCAATTTAAAGTGGACTCAATTTGCACTATTTCTGGCAGTCTGCAAAGGCCCTAGGACAATTAGAGGGTATGCTATCTATTTCTTTCAAGATAGATAGATAGAGGCCAGACTTTTTTTATTCTTCATGACACAATCTCACTTGTTGTGTTACCTGCAACGATATATTCTCCTATCTCCATTTTGTTTTATAGTCATGACTTTTGCTTTTTATTCCTGCATGTTTTACACAGAAGCAGAGAAAGCTCCAGTATTCAGGACTTTCACTAACACATCTCACTTCTACTCTGGTGCCTAAAATAGGATTCCAAGATCTAATCTGTCAGAGCTCATCATTCCTGATCTGTTCAGATA